TATAGCTTTGGATCTCGAGTCGATTCATTCGCAAGAACTCGTTCACAGAGATTTACACAGTGGAAACATTTTGCAATGGCGTGCTTTGCATAATGCATATATCACAGATCTTGGACTTTCTAAAAAAGAAAAGGAAGGAAAAATTTGTGGAGTTTTGCCATATATAGCACCTGAGATTTTGATGGGTCAACCATACACTCAAGCATCTGACATTTACAGTCTTGGAGTTATGACGACAGAAATTTCGACCGGACAAAGAGCATTTGATGGAATTCCGTTTAATGATGATCTTGTATCAAAAATTATCGATGGATTAAGACCTAAATGTTTGGGACCTGATTGTTATATTAAATTAGCTATGGAATGTATGGATAAAGATCTTGATAAACGACCTAGTGCAACAGAAATTATTGAAATAACCACTCGATGGTTAGATGAAATTGATCAAGAAGAAGATAATGAAATCAAAATACAGTTTTTAGAAGATGAAAAGAATAAACCTGAACCAATTGCACAAATACATTCTCAAGATATATATAATAGCAAGCTATAAGATACGAAAACAATTTCAAATTATTTTAGCTAACCGATAGTGTATTAGATATCCAGAGCGAATGATCAGACTTATTTGTAATTAAATTAATAAATTATAGTACATGTTTATTTTTATTTATGCTTTTTATTATCTTATAAATGTTCGTATTGATTTTTTCAAATGTTATACAAACATTCTCCCATATAATCACAGGTTTAACACAGTACCGATAAAAATATATTTATAAAGAGATATAGAGTTTATTTCTTATCACGTGTGATAAATTAGAGTAGATGATATATGAAGGTTAACTGTATAAGATTTCTATTCATCCATGAGCTGCCTATCTCAACAAGAGTGCAATTAAAGACACTATTAACTCGCGTTCTCCACCATCCTAAAACACCAGAGTAATTTCCTTTTAAAACTTAATATAGTTGCTTTAATTTTATCTGTTTTGCCTCGATTTTTTTTTAAAAAATATCTTTATTTATTGTAATAAGTGACATTTTTGTTGCTTTTTTAACGTCATTTCTGCAGATAGGAACAAAATTTTTGATCCAGTTTATTTTCTAAATATCAAATAAGCCGATATGCGCTAAGAATTATTTATTTTTATACGTAAATATGTTTACATTAGAAATACATTGATGAGAATAAATTATAAATTATAAAAAAAATTTAATATATATATTTTTACTAATTACTGTTGAACTTCCCAAAACCGATACGCATGATAGACAGATTTTGTATCTGTTATCAGATTTGAAAAATTATAAACTATTAGATTTATATAACGGAAACGGACTTGTAGACCAATTTTTTATCAGTTATCGATTTTGTGAGGATCAATTTTGTGAGGTTCACAGTATATCGTATACGGTGTACAGTAATTAAAAAAATGCAATATCACTGCAATGAAACTTTATAGTACATATGAAACTAGAGTTTGGAATAAAGTAAGATTTTTAATGACGAAGAATTTATTAAAGTCAAGAACCATTTTGAAAGTGGAACATTAAAAGCCGATATTTCTTTCTAAAACAGTATTAATGGAATGTTTACTCAGACTAAATTTGTGTACCTACGCCAATTGAGGTTTAATTTCAAAGTTTAATTTTCTCAAAGAAAATAAAATCAGATGTAAAAAATTTGAATCATAAGTAATATGTTAAAATTTTCATTCTCAATAGCAATTTAACAATGAGATACAGTCTTTTTAAAGTATTATTTCTATACAAATTGAATTTTCCACACTGTTACAGAAAAACTAAACATCACATCTCTCTTTATAAATATTTTCATATACCCATGAGGAGAATTGATGAATCTGAAATTTAGATCAATAAAATTTAAAATTTTGACGAGAGCATGTCCTAATTCAGAAAATCTGGGAAACATTGTGCATTACCATGTTAATGTAGGTGTTCATATAGATTTTTGTGTAGATGTCCAAATAGTTAAAGAAAAACATTAAGTTTTAACATTTATGAAGACTTAGTATCAATTTTAAATTATTCCTCAGTTTTTATTTAACTTCTATACTATTTTTTTTTTATTTGCACTTATTGTCTGTATTTCGGATTTAAAGTAATCCGGAGTCTTTACAGTATATTTCTTTTTTACTTATATATCTTTCTTTTTTATTTTATTAACAAAGAATAAAGTTTTTGGCTTATAAAAAGAAAGTGGGTTGAGGAAAATGAAAATAGTATAGAAGTATAATAAAAACCAGAATTATTAGCTGCACAAGGGTTCGAGTTATCCAACAACTATGATGTGCTTGCAAAGCAATTATATATTATTTTTTTAATTTATAAGTATAATTGCTTTTTATGCTAAAATGTTAAATATAAAATTAGATATACTGTATATGTTCCTTTGCTTCTATAAATAAAAGCAAAAATTATGTCCAAAATATACTTAAAAATTTTGACTATCTATTGAAAGGCAAATTCTGTAGCATTTTAGGTAGTACTCACGTATATTGATGCGGTAGAATCGTTCCAATGAAGTCCCAATGAATCTTGAGATACGGCAAATTGAGTTACGGCTATTTGTAGCTTAATGAAAAGTTACGCCGCGCCGTAACTTTTCATATCAAAAAATCCATCGGGACTTCATTGGGACAACTCTACCGCATCACTACGCACGTACTGTATAACGATAATTTGTAATATTTCAATTACATCATTAGTCCGAATAAAAAAATTATTTAACATCAAGAATAGGCCAACAACCCAGAAAAGAAAAATAAGTCTGAAGTATCAAATAGTGTATAAGATTAGTCTTTCGCCCTTTAAAATTTTCTATACTATGCTTTCAGTATATTAATTAATGAATATATGGCACAGATACGTACTCCGATATGATTTTGGGTCAAAATCCCAAACAACAGATTATTGAAAGAACATAACACCGACTAAATTGGCCAGCATTATAGCCAGTGCCAGCTAATTTTGTCGGGATTATGTTCTTTTGGGAATCCGTTTTTCGGGATTTTGACCCAAATTCCTCCGATATGTGAATAATTGTAGAACCAATCAAAAGTGGAGTTTAAATTAGTAAACACCGATAATTAGAGTGTCTAGGGTACTGTGGTTCATAATTCTACTCACGCTAAAAATACTGATTTAAATCACGTCTCTTATGAGAACAATATCGATATAAAAAATTATTTTTTGCGTGAGCAGAATTATGCACCGCAGTACCCTGACATAATTATACTAATTCTGTAATCTAAAATAACTGGACTAACCAGCACCCGGAAAATGTGTACCGGGTTAAGATCAGATTATTCTCGCTCGGATACTTTATTAAACATGATATGACGAAGATACATATGGGAGTAGTGCTCCACCTTCACTACTTTCTCTTCTGTTTTTCATACTTGTGCTAATTTCCTACATTTACATATCTTCACATGCTTGCCACTGTGTGCGTTCACTGTGTGCACGTGACGAAGCACAAACGAGGATCGGAAGTACGGGCCCACGCTATGGTGTGGCGCATTCTACTTCAACTTTTTCAACTTTTTTTTTTTTACTTTATTAAACATGATATGACGAAGATACATATGGGAGCAACAAAGAGGATCGGTTTTTTTTTTTTTTTCTTACATTTTTTTTTTTTTTAAACCCCTTTCTTGTTAATGTGTTTTGCAATGTAGTTGAGACAGACCTAAGATATAGCGATACGGATTGTGACAGCCACCCCCAATGCTTATTATTTGCAGTAGCGTCAACCCAGCTTTCATTGCTTTTGTTGCACTGCCTATACGAATGCTGTGGCCAGAATACTTACCTTCTAAACCGGCATGTTGTGCGATTCTCTTCACAGTTGTATTTACTGCGCCGGTTGTCATGCGGTTCCCTGATACATTTAGAAAAAGTGGATCCTCATTCCTTCTGGACCCTTTTTTTCTTGTAAATACTTATATACCAGCCTTACAGGGCAATACTGAGATTTGGTAGGTTCAATAGGGACAAATTTCCTTTTTGTGAATTGGTCAGTCTTTGACTTATTTATTCTGACCCAACAGATTCTGTTTTCTATTTTTAGGTCCCCTATTCTTAAATTGCAGAGTTCTGCTGGACGACGCATCATACAGAGGCCTAAAGCTATCATTGCACAGTCCCGTTTCCAAATCAAAGTTGATACATTAACCGGTAGGTAGTCAACATAATTCTTTAGTGCTTTTATAGGCAATGGATCCCGTGGACATGCTGCTTCACGATTTGTAGATGAAGGTTTTATCAAATTTCTTGCAAGCATCTGCACATTAAAGCAGTGTTGTACATGGGACAATTTTAGACAATTTTGAACATTTTTTTAAATTAAAATTACTCAAAATTTTATTAAGATAATCTATTTTAATTTTTTCACCAATAAGTCCAGCACCTAAAAAAATATATAATTATATATTTTTTTAAATTACTTTATTGATTAGTTAAACATGGGACATAGGCTTGGACGATTTTAGACAATCTTGGACGTTGGACATTTTACATAGTGTGGACACGTCCCATGTACAACACTGCATTAAAGTCTATAGTTGGATCTGAATGTCCCATTTTTAGATAGAAGCAGCTGATAGCTGTCAAATACATTTGCGGTTTTATAGACAGTGATAGAATATCGACCCACACCAAAAAGGACATAATTGACTTTGGGTGAGCAGGGAAAGAGGGCAGGTTATGAACTTTACAAAAATCGACAAACTCATCCCATAAGTTTCGGAGGCGCTTTTTGTATGCTGAATTTGGTGCTATGTATTCATATACTTTTTCCAAAAGTTTATTCAAAAATGAACTGTTGTTGCTCGGAATATCCAGTGTGGGTTTCTGCATGGTTCTGGCACTACATTTCCCCCCTGGGCTCAGTTTGAAGCTCATAGTGGCGCTGGGTAGGTCAATAAATTCTACTTCCTGTCAAAGAAGAATTGGCCACCATGGTGCTGAAGTTCATACTAGGAGTATTATAGTAACTCGCGCATGATATTCTATTCCATGTTCAATTACTTTCTGAATTAAATTCAAAGGGGAACATAAATAGTTGTTCTCGTTTTCCCAATTCTGGGTGAAGCAGTATGTGGCTTCTGCCTCTGGGCAGTGGAAACAACTGTTGAAACGTGCTACTTTCCCTGTAAGATAAGTCGCTATACAGTCTACCATGAAAGGTTCCCACTTTCTGTTTATTTTCTCAAATAAGTCTTAGGAGAGTGACCAATCTGATTCATCGATTAACCTTGTCAATTCGTCTACCAGGTTTAAATCTGATAGGACCCACTGAAATTCGTGGACTTGTATGTCATATTTGTCACAAAAATTCCATACTTCCCTCATTATTTCTTTTTATCAGGGCCTACTGCTACCAGTTTTGACTGTTTTTTGGGCAACTCGATTGTCTATAAAGATGGTAATTCAATGGTGTGTAATTATTGGGGCAAACGACTCGAGGCCCAACAGCACTGCTACTGATTCTAGTTGAGCAATGTCCTTACATGGGTGTTTGTTTTCCCAGTTGCCGAATGCCTGTTCCTGATTCAATATTGCTGACCACCCAGTTGTAGAGGCATTGACATATACAGGTATTATTCGTGAAGGTTTTCAACCCAATCTTCAATTTTTCTTCTTTAGGTTGTCTAGTACCCAAGCTATATCGACACGTGCTAGCTGTGTTAGATATACAATATCATTCCATTGGCATAGTTTTCTGTTTTCTGTGTCTATTATTATATAAAGTTCCATATAGCGAACTTTCGCATATATGAAGGCACAGCTTATACTCATTAGTTTTCCTGTCATAGAAGACAAGTGATAGGCTATTACTTTTTCCTATGTAAGTAGGCTTTTCAAGGCTTGTAATGTGCTGTTTATTTTTTGTTCTGATGCTAATACTATTCCTGAAGTCATGTCTAGAATCATTCCATAGAACTTTGGTTATTGTGTTGGATTCAAGTGGCCTTTTTCTGCTAGCACAAAGCCACAATTTTTTAGGTCCGGGAGTATAATTGAATCTCTTAATTGCAGCAAATTTTCGTAGCATGGATGTGCGACCCAAATATCGTCTACATGATTCCCACATATGATACCACATGACCTCCAATGTCTATTATCGATCTCATTATCTTTGAAAATATCCACACGGCTTGGCTTAGCCCAAAGGGCAAAACGCAGTAATGGTACCAATTGTCTTCAATTTTGAAACCTAATAACCTTTGCACTTTTTCATCCATCATAATGTGAGGGTAACCCTCCTTCAGATCCAAAACAATTACTCACCAATTTTGTCCTATTATACATAAGAAGGTTTCGAAGCCCTCGAACCTGAACGATTTCTCTAGCAATGCCGCATTTAAACATCTGAGATCAATTATTAGACGCCATTTCTTGGGGCCTGATTTTGAGGTTAAAAAGATCGGGCTTACTTTTAACAAATACTCTGGTCTTTCTCTCGATTTGATAATCAAGGCAATTGCTTTTATTTCTAAAAGCCTTTTTATCTCTAAATCTAGCCATAAGCGCTGTTCTTCAGTCAGTGGATAATGAGGTGGGTTGGAACTCATCATTAGTTGTACTAGGTTTCGCAGATAAAGGAGAATTCTGTTTCCAAGCCAATTCGTAACAAGATTTGAGGCTCGAATTTTTTCTTTCCAATAAGTCACATAGTTGCTCATATGTAAGCAACCTACCACCAGTATTATTTGCTGGGCCCGAGCGTAGCAATCACTTTTTGTAGTTTCGTCGAATCTATTTTTATATGAGGAATAGCCTCTTAATCGATAATTGAAAGTGCTTTTATTTGGATTAGATGAGCAGGTGTTTGCAAAATGGCCAAGTCCTCCACAGATATAGCATTTTCCTGGTGATGCTGAGGAACAAGTTTGGGATTGGTTGTACTCACAAAAAAGCCGGTAGGAGCTAGAATTCATATTTCTATAAGCCTTCTGATAGTTATATCCCTTTTGAAAATCATATTTATCATATCTATCATATTTTCCCGACTTTCTGAATTTTTGATGTTTATTCTTTTTCATATCTGCAAGTACTTTTGCTTTTTTGATATGGCTGTCTTTTCCTTTCAACCAATCATTTTGCATATCGAGTAAAGTAGCCGCAATGTCCTATCCATATCCCTCGGCTACTCATAATGAAAACATCCTAATTGCAATTTTTTCCCACACACTTTCTATGCAATTTACTGCGTTCTGAACATTTCTTGACTCTATAGCCAAATCTAATTCTCTTCCTACTAGTCGTAGCATATTATATTCATGCTGGTCTCAGTACTTTTCGAACTTGTAGTTTAGCTATGTATTATTTATTTCCACTCTTTGTCGAGTATCTTGAATTTGGACCATCATGGAATTAAGCCTATCATCAAAGCCTAAAACTGCAGTTTCTAATTTTTTGAATGCTGATAACATTTTCTGTTCTAAAGTTTCAGAACCTTCATGCTCACAACTATCTTGAAATTGTCGCTTCTTTGATTTCTTTGATTTCCTTGGGCTTTCGCTAGTTTCTCCTGTTATTTTGGGGTCTTGATCTTTTATATTTGGAGAAGTGGGTTTTGGTGGTGAAATTTTTGATTTTCCTTTTGATTTTTGCACCAGTTCTTTTAATGTTTGTGTTTGGGGATCATATTCAAGTATATCTTCTTCCTTGTCAAAATATTCACATGTTAATTCATCATCATTTTCCTCACATACTCTCTTCATATTTTCCAGTTGTTCAGTTATATCATAGTTTCCTTTATTCGAAAAATCTCTTATCCTTTGTATTAGGTCTGCTTTTGTTTCTTTTGTAGGAATGCCAAGACCTCGACAAACTTCTTCCAAGTCACTTTTTGAAAGGTTTGAATCTGATATAACTTTCATGATAATAATAATACTTTTTTTTTTTTTTTTGCACAAGTATGACAATCACAAAGAAGCCAGATTGAAATCGGGCAGTGAAGAGATCAAGTAGACAAGACAAGTGAAGTAAGAAAGCACTAAATCTTCTAACTACGCCCAAACATATCTTCTTATAGCTTTACTCACCTGCACTATCTGCATGTCTATAAACTTAATCATATAAAAATCCCAACTTCAATTATATGCAAATCGATGATGCATACAATCGTATGCATATCTATTGTTTTTTATATAGGCCTTAACTCATACAAGCCACAAGGGGTGATCCTCACGATAATAACCCTAGCGTGACTTCGTTAATACATAGAGCTATGATCGTCCGGAAAGCAGCAAAAATTACGTATTTACATATGTGTCTAGCTAATAAAATAAATTACTTATTGTCATTAGTTTATTATTATTTAAATTATAATAATCAATAACATTTTTTAGTTTTTTTTTTCTTACAAAAAATAAAAGCGATGCAATATTTGTTATAAGTATGTATTTTATATTATAAGCTTTATTTCGTTAATTACATGAAAGAAACCATCAAATTAGGATTTGCAAACCAAAAATAATAGAATATATCAAATCTACCTATGTTACTTCACCAAAAATTTCATCGCTTATGAGTCACAAGTTGAAGCTATAATAGCTAAATATGAAAAAAGCAATGTTCGATCATCTAAAAGTGATATTAAAAATAGGTTGGTATTTTAAATTTAATTGATACTAATTCAGAATTTATTTAATACTTATATATCAATGAAGTTTTAATAAGCATATTATATCTATTGAAAGTTTCCAACTTATCATTAGTAATGTTAACAATAATAGCCAACTTCTTGCCGACATTGAATATTTCAAAAAGGATACGAAATCCGAATCTTTATTGATAGACAAGTTAGTATCTTAACTATTTTACCAAATTTCATGCAGCCAATGAATATTCAGAAAAAAATATTGATCAATTTGAAATAAAAAGCATTATTGAAGAACATCACAAAAAACAAACCAAATAGTTAAAAAGAAGTAAATTATTATAATACCGAAATTCAAGTTTATTGTATTACGTATTCTATATATTAGATATGTGTTGTAAATTATATTATCGTTCTTTTCAATTTACTGTGATCATAAAATGATTGACGATCACATGGAAATTTTCAAAATTCCCAAATTTAAGGCTTTTTAAGCAAATAAATCTAAATTTCTTGCTAACAAATAAAAATTTTCAAAATTTCTATTCTATTTTTGCTTTTTCAGCATTTTATCAACCAATATACAAGAGCTGGTTGTTTGTACAGCTAAATAATATAGAAATTTCAAGCCTTTTATTGTATCCTATTTTTAATTTTTTTTTTAACTTTGAATGAAGATATCTTGACAACCACCACATCAAATTTGATGAACCTTTCTTATCTAAATTCTACAAACCAGTAGAATTCAAATTAAGAAAACTTTATTAAATTTGGCTTGGTGGCTGTTAAGATATTTTCTTTTAAAGTTTTAAAAAAAATTGCATAGAATTTTCTCAAAATTTAAACGAAGGTACCTCAACAACCACAAAGTCAAATTCAATAAAGTTTTTTTTTTTGAATTCTATGAATCTGTAGAATTCAAATAAAAAAATGTTATTAAATTTGGATTGATAGTTGCCAAGATATTCTCACTCAAAGTTTTAAAAAAGTTAACGTTTAACAAAAGCGATAAATTTCTCAACTTTGAATAAAAATATCTCATCAAATATTAAACTAAATTCAATAACCATTTTTTATTTTAATTCTACAAACATAAAAAGGAAAATTTTATCAAAATTGAGATAATAGTTGTCAAGTTATATTTGCTAAAAGTTTAAGAAAAATTCTGTTAAATTTTTTTTTAACTTTGAGCAAAGGTTTCTTGACAACCACTAGGCCAAATTTAATGAACTTTTTTTTATTTGAATTCCATAAATCCGTAGAATGCAAATAAAAAAAATTCATTAAATTTTACCTGGTGGGTGTTGAGATAACTTCGCTCAAAGATTACAGCGCTTTTCAAATTACTATGATTGGTGATTTTCATACATTACACCGAAAATCAGAACTCTAAATCTGTGATTAGCTAAAAATATTTTTTATCCAATCATGTATTGGCATTTTTCCAGATTTCTGATTCCCAGTGTGGTGTATAAAAATTACTAATTACAGTATGATTATCCAACTCTTTCTGATGACCATCTGGACTATATTTTTCTAAAAAACTTTTTGACTAAAAAACAGTAATATACTGCAAGAAAAAAGTAAGACATGGGAAAAGGGCATAAGAAGAACC